AGAATTCACTAGGGCCATCAGGCTCTTAGATGTCAAGACCAGAATCAGAACCTACTTCTGTTTGTTTGTTGTATTCAAATCCTACGTTCTTCCCTTCACAAGTTAGACTCTGCTTCTATAATAAGCTTAAGCCTGAATAAGCAGTAACAAAATTAGAGACAGAAGCAGAGACTGGGCACAAATAGGCTGTTTTATCTTCCATGTTCTTCAGGGGCACGAGTGAAGTTTTTAAAAAAAACAAAAAAACAAAAACAAAAATCCAGCTGCTTGATATGCAAAGTAAGGGAAATCACCCAGCTTCTTCCTGCCAACGGGACTGTACAGTGTAAGAATAAGTAGATCATTCCAGCAAACAAATATTAAATGTTTACTAGCTGGCCCACCTTCCTGCCCAGGAGCTAAACACTTAGCTACTAAGTAATTTTTTTTCCTCTGCTCACTAAAAGCTCGGTTTCCTTACAGAGCGGCTACACTTCCCGGTTTATCTGCAAATGGGATTGGAGTTACAGGCCGTCCCTCATTTTCCTTTAAAGATCCTTCCATGGACATATATTGCTCTATTTTCTATGAAGTAAACCCTTGTTCACAAATATTTTGTATTTATTCTTTCTCATCCACTTTTTTCTTTGCACAGTGAAATAACCAAAAATATATGTAAAGAGAAAACAAAAACAAGATCACCTTTATTTCTACCTCTCCAAACACAACATGGAAAATTCCATTTGTAAACAAAGTCTCTGCTAGTCTTTCTCCTACCAGTATTTTGAGCATATGTATGCACATCTGCACACATGTGACACATACATGCTTGTATTTATACCGTAGAATATGATGCATATGTTTTGAATTGTGTTATCACTTATATCATAAAGTATAATTTGTCCACCAACTGAGAACATGCTTTACTATATAAAAGGGTGTTCTACTATTTAGTCTTATTGTTTTTAAGTATGATTCAAATTTTTTTAATTTTTTAAATGTTTTATTTGTTTCTGAGACAGAGTGTGAATGGAGGAGTAGCAGAGAGAGAGGGAGACAGACAATCCGAAGCAGGCTCCAGGTTCCAAGCTGTCAACACAAAGCCCAGTCCAGGACTCAAACTCACGAACGGTGAGATCATGACTTGAGCCAAAGTCAGGTACTTAACTGACTGAGCCGCCCAGGCACCCCAGTATGATTCAAATTTTTATGATTATAAGCAGCATGTCATAAAAGTGTTTTCTACAGTCAGGATTACCCTTTTATTTAAAAGAGTTTTTAAGTCTTTATTTTTGAAAGACAGAGAGAGAGAGGGGAAGAGAGGGAGGGACAGAGGTGGGGGGAGATAATCCCAAGGAGGCTCCGTTGCTGTCAGAGCAGAGCCCAATGCAGGGCTCGAACTCAAACTGTGAGATCATGACCTGAGCCGAGATCGAGAGTTAGGTGCTTAACCATCTGAGTCATCCAGGCCCCCAGGATTATCCTTTTAAGATAAGAGTCTCTGAAGTAGGCATACAGGGTCAAGGTCTTGGGCATAACACCATAAAATTTCTTTCCAAAAAGGTTATAGCAATTTCTGGTTCTGGTAGGAGTATATAGGGGTGTATCACTCTTCCACTCTCTTCTAAAATGCACCGTGTCCACTGTCACCAGGCATACTGCAGAAGTAAAACTGATTTGATGTAATAAAGCAAGCCTTAAATGAAAATTTGCTGAAAATCTTGCCTGGAAAATAAATCTAATTGCTGTAATTAACAGAGAAAGCCAAAAGTAGCATCCTACACCACTATTATTATATTATTATTAACATTAGAAAGGTACTTCATTTGCCAAAGTATTTTATAACCGTGTATTGGTTAATCCCCATAACGTGCTTCGGAAGCAGTGAAGCTATTTATAGCTGGACTTTCTGAGCTGAAAGTCTTTCAAAAGTCCTTTTGTCTTGATATCTCAAGTCATTATCACCAGCACATCAATCCACAGACATTCTCATTTGTAGAATTTCAAGGATGGGAGGGATTTAAGTGGTCATCTGGATGAAGATCAAGTCGTCACTGACGTGGCGTGCGGAACTGTCCTAATGCTTACTAAGAACTGCTTTCTTCTCACATCCCCAGGCCGCCACCAAAGCACGGCATGCCATCCGCAGCCAATTATAAATCTAATGCTATTTTTAGATGTAACATCTTTGTGCTGAGCAGTTACTGTAGGAGTAAAAGTTTACACTCAATGGGATTCCTTAAGGTTTCGGCAACTACCGGAATTATTTGATTTGTAGCTGAAGCAACAGCGATAATATTTACACCCAACAGCGCAAAAACGTTTTTATGGCTTTAACATGTGCCATAATTGAGAGGTAGCACATTTGGCTGTCTGTAATCATGCAAATACTCTTCTCTAAAATGGGGGGTTTTCCTCCCCAATCAGGGAGGGACCCGACTTCTTTAGTGGTGATGAGAAACAAACACAAAAAGGCTGAGAGTCACTCATCTAATTCCGTGCTTATGGGACAAAATGCCCGGTTTGAAGCAGATGAAGGTTGAAGAGCCACAGGGAGTCTCAAAAACCTCACAGGAGCGATGGTGATGTAGAAAGGGTATCTCACCTTAAGTCAGAAGGCATGAGGTTGAGCCCCACTTGGTCATTCTCTATTTGGTATTCCCATTTCCTCCTGAGATGTGCAACGGAAATCCCAATACCAACTGGGCAGAGCTAAGAGGTGAGAACTAAGAGCCCCTCCCAGCAGCCGACTTCGTTCTCTGCTTGTTGGTTACTCAGGACTCCCGCTGGCCCACTCCAGGGCTGGGGCTGAGAAGGGGGGTAGGCAGGGATCTCCTCACTCCCGGATGGAAAGCAGGGAATCCAACATTTTGCTGACCTGCTAGCTGACTAAAGGCACATCAGGGCACCCACCCAAAGACCCACCCAGGGGAGTTCAGTTTAAATATCTGAGCTAATAAATTTTGCCTTCAACCTAATAAATTTTGGGGTGAACTGATTCACAGCAAAAGGAAAAGTGACCTAAGCATGAATGTCTAAAGGGTTAAAATGACCTGCTGAAAATCACTCAGCTGTAGAGTGAACAAATGTCTAACCAAACCAGGTCTGAGCTAGATCTCTTAGTTAACTGGTTGAATAACTTTATCTTCAGGTTATTTATTAATGAAGTTCCCCAGATTCACCTGTGAAACAAGTAAACATTCCTGGAGCACCTAATACATGTGAAGACCTTTGCTAAGATACTGAGAATACAGAAATATGGTTGCTTATATTTGACCACAAAAGACATAACATGAATAGAGAAATAAAACACGATGCACTAAGTCCAGTAATAGAAAGATGCACAGAGTATTATGGGCTGGGAGAAGGGGAGCCCCAGCCCACACTAACAGGTACAGGTGGGCCTCCTGTTAGAGGGATAAGGAGTTTGCCAGGTTGCGAGGAGGAAGACGTTGGAGGAGGTGAGAAATGGACAAATAGACAACAGGCAGAGAGGGGTGGGAGCTCAAGCAGGTCAATGTTGCTGGAGAGTGAGGTATCAGCAAGGGGGGGGGGGGAGAATGACATCAGGTCCTGATGGTCTAGACAGACCCTGCTCAAGTCTCTCTCCTCCACAAGAAGCCATTGAAAGGTCTGGAGAAATCAAATTTGCCTTTTTAAAAGTATCACCTAGAGTTGGAGAGGCTGGATCTGTGAGGATTGGAAGGCCAAGCGCAGGAGAGAGATTACACACTCAGCACTGACAGCTAGATTCAGGCGTTAACTTGACATCAATCTATGTTCAGTTGAGATCTAAGAGCTTCTTCTGACTATTCATACTGCCCAGAACCTTCTGCATCTTGGCTACAGCCATAGATAAGCTTCATCTAAACCTCTGGTAAGAATGTTAGAACAGAGCCAAGGACACTGGCTAAAACTACAAACTCAATTCTGGATACATCCTGAATAGGTCTATCAATCTATCAATCAATCAATCAATAGTAGAAAAAACAGAAGAAAGGTCCTGTAAAAAAAATAAAAAAGTAGAAGCAAATGGCAGCTCTTTAACTTGGATAAGAGAGGCCTTAGGAGAGGCAGTATTACTTCCGGGTGGAGAAGGACCCTATCCTTTGTATGGCTGGTTCCATGGGGATCCACAAGAACCCACACACATCATCTATAGGTTGGAAAATTTCAGTTTAATATAAGGCAAGACTTTCCAATTGTTAGAAATGCCCAGACATGGGACAGGCTGTAACTGGAAAATTATCAGCTAGCTAGGGCCGCCATAACAAAATACGACAGACTGGGGAGGGAGTGCTTAATCAAAAGAAATTTATTTTCTATGGTTCTGGAAGCTGGAAGTCCAAGATCATGGTGCTGGCAAGGTTGGTGTCTTCTGAGGCCCCTCTCCTGGGTTTGTAGATGGGTATCTTCTCTGTGTGTCCTCACAGGGTCTTCCCTCTATGTGAGTCTGTCTCCCAATCTCCTCGTAGTAGGACACCAGTCCTACTATAGTAGGGTCCATTCATATTGGCCTCAGTTTAACTGAATTACCTCTTTCAAGGCCAATCTCTAAATACAGCTCTTGTTCTGAGGGGGAAGGGGCTAGGGCTCCAGCAGATAAATTTTGGGGGAACACAATTCAGTCCATAACACAACCTAGCAACAGGGATATGTCAACATAGAGATCTGGGGACCATCGGGCAAGGGAAGCCAATGAAGAAATGGAAGCCTCAAATCTGAAGTGTCCTTGAGCGTCCCTTTAGGTCTAAGAGCTATAATCCTAAACGTTGTGGGACAGCACCTAACTGCTCCTGTTAAACGTTATTAACACAATAATCTCTCCGGAGTTTCAGACAAAAATCACATTTTCACAGCAGCTTAAGTGATTGATGAGAAATGCTGCCCTTCTTTAACTCTCCCCGGAGGAAGTGTGCAGGCAGGCAGGCACACGCATGAAGTACACACACATATCACACGCATGAGCCATGCACCCCAGCCCCACGCATGAGCCCACAGAGAACGACAGCCGTGCTTACCTGTGAAACAGGACGGACTTGACCAAGGTGACAACATCGCGGCTGGCATTATATCCAGCACAGACGATAGCAACGTGGATTGTCTGGGAAGCAAAGAAAACAGGGTATGCGGTTAGACAGATGGAAGAGGGCCTTCCTGGTGCTTCAGACCACATGAAAAATAAAAATCACCCTCATTTCTTGTTGGGATCATTAGAAAACAAAGGGCATAGTCTGCAGCTGTGGAAAATAACTTGAGAGAGTTTTATTAAGGCCTTTTTAATCGGTTTATGGAGCTATCATCATTTGGAAACCATTAAGGCTCTTTTCAATTACATTTTGGGGATGAGAGAAAGGCCAATTGGCTCACATAGGCAAACAGTGAGTCCCCTGTCCCCAAGCTGGGAGACAATGACAACTGGTCATATGAGAGAGGAAAGAAATATATCCTGAAAGGAAGAAGTGACAATCAGGGGTCTCAGACTGAGAAGTGATGGCTCAGAGTTGGGAAATGCTCTTGCAAGATAACTCAGGTTAGGGGTGCCTGACCAGGCAAAAAGATCAACGAACACCTCTAAGGGCCCATCTGTAACAAGGGCCCCAGCAGGGATGTCATCCCAGAAACTGAAGACAGGCAGAACCGAAGGGGACCTCTTGGGGCATCTCATCTGAGCAGTTAAGAGCTCGGGCTCCAGAAATCGATCCTGGCTTCCTCCTTTAGCCCAGGGTGACCCTGGGAGAGGTGTGGCATTAGGTGACTCACAGTAACACACGGCCATGACACATGTCCTACAGAAGGTCACAGGGCACATAAGGGAATAATACCAAGAGTGAAGTACGGTGCTTGGCACACTGCCTTCCGATCATAGCAGAGATGTTCTCTAGAGCTGGGCTTCCCAGATGGGGGTCCCCCAAGGCACCCTGGTGTGCTGTCAGTGAACTATAGGAGACAAAGCCACTCATCTCTTCAAGCGAGATCTCAAGGCTTACCAGGCAGGGCTGGCCCCCTCAGGCATGGCTGTCCTCTGTGCTGTGGCAACTGGACAAAAACTGGGAAGCCCAGTCCCAGGGAAGCCCCTACAGAAAGTCATCCAGCCTTTCAAAACAGCTCAGAGAATGGAGGGGTCACACCTCTCGATGCTGTCCCTTTTGCCGAAGCACAGCCCACCTTGAATTGAAACCCGCCTCCTAACACCCACCCCAGCCCTGCTCTGTCACACCCACCCCAGCCCTGCTCTGTCCTGGGGGTATTGCAGAGCCAGCACGTTCCCTCTGGCACCCAATACTTAAAGGGAGGGGTCTCCAGAGGTGCCATCTCCATGTTCAGAACTACTCTGAGCCCCTGTCCCCATGGCATGGCTTCTGGACTCCTGTTATTCTCATCAGCCAGTTCAAAAGACAGTTCTGTTGACCCTCCGCACGACCTCTGCAACTTCCCAGGAGTCCATAATTACTTGAAAGTACAAAGTAAAAAATAAAAATAAAAATAAAAAAGCAGTTCTGATATCCTGGTTGCTCCCCCACAGGCTTTCAGGACAATGACCCCTGGTTCCCAGGCCAACTAACCTGCCCCATCCTCACCCCACCCTCCCCTTCCCCCCACTGCAACATCACCGAGGGAAGTTTACTCAGGCTTTGATGGGATTCGAATTCTGGAACAGAGATTCTTAACCCTGATAGTACATCAGAAACACTTGAAAGATTTATAAAATAAACCCTGTGCCCCAGCCTCACCTCAGACCAGTGAACTCACAATCTCTGATGCCCAGGATCTTAAATGACTCTGCAGGAAGGGCGATGGGTCTCCGTAGGAGGCAACACTCATCCCCCTCCACGCTGCCCAGAACACTTGACAGTGTCTGGAATCATTTTTGGCTGTCAGTCCTGGGGGTGGGCAGAGGCCAGGGATGCTGCTCGACCCCCTACACGGCCCAGGGCAGCCCCTCAACAGACAATTACCCTGCCCAAAAGGTCACAGAGCTGTTGTGGGGAAACTCGGCTTTTAGAAAGAAGAAGAGAGGCTGCAGGGAAACTCAGACCCCCTAGCTACCAACCCGACCTTGACTGAGTCTAATGTATGCATATCTTAATTTCTCCACCTGTAAACGAAGACACCATCACTTATCTCTGCATAATATCTCCAAAAGACTCAGGATGAAAGACCGTTATGTGGATGTAACAGTCACCGTTTAAATCACGAAGGAAATGAATAGGAAAACGCCTGGATGCAGGAGGCATAGCCAGGAAGGGGACAAGAATGGATAAAAGCACGCTGAATCAGGCTCTTTGCAACTGCAAATATTTAAACATGCGGCCTCTGAGATATCAAACTTTGTCTTGGCTTCAGGGTTCAGGGGCTTTTTAAAATGGGCCCATTAAATGAAAGCACGAGCGTGCACATTCTCAAACATTTTACATAATTTTCCAATCTCTTTAGTTTCATCCAATACACCTGCCACCATGAATAAATTCATCATCTGGAGCCGTAGCAGCAAGGCCCTGCTACCCAGGAAGGCAGAAAATTGGAGCACTGTGAACACGCTCTTGGAAGAGTTCTGGGTGGTCCCAGCTTTCGTGGGTATAGAAGTGAATGCCAAGAATGGGTCAGGGGTTTGGAGTGGAGAGAGATAGGGATGAATGTTCCTTCAAAGAACAGAGTCACAAATACGGTCTCACCGTGAAAACTTGATTTTGAAGAGTCCAGGTTTCAAGTGTCTCATTCAAGTGTCCCATCTCTTATTAAAGATGCCCAATAGCCAGGGTTGCCTGGGTGGCTTGGTCAGTTTAGTGTCTGACTCTTGGCCTCAGCTCAGGTCAGGATCTCGTGGTTCATGAGTGTGAGCCCCACATCAGGTTCTGTGCTGACAGCACAGAGCATGCTTGGGATTCTCTCTCTCTCCCTCTCTCTCTCTGCCCCTTCTGTGCTCGCTCGCTCTCAATAAATAACTTAAAAAAAAAATGGCCAATGGCCACAACTACTTGGACATTCATCTCCTCAAAGTGAAGCATCTAAAATATCAGACTTGGTGACTGGTGGCCAGCCATCAGGACTTCCTTACGTTTTATACAGATGTCATATTTGCCTTTACTGGTCACAGAGCTCAGATTGGGCTGGGGTGATGATCTTAATTTGCGCCTCCAGACTCACTCTTACCCTCTTCCAATCTGTTCTGTGCCTAAGTGCCTGATATTTACAGACTGAATAACTAGGCTCCCAAGGCCTCTGGTTTCTGGCGGAGTTTGGTCACTGGGAGACTTAAGGGCAGGAAGAAGGAGAGATCAGGTCCTGTGTACCTGTCAGAACCCCCTCCCCCAAGTTCTGATTCTGCTGGGCTCCATCAGGACACCCGCCTCCCACCCCTTGATTCAGGGGTTGAATCAAGTGGCTCCACCCCACCCCCCTCCCCACTGGTTTGCAGGTCTGCGGCTGCCTTAAATCCTTCCCACCTCCTTCGAGAGTGCCACTGATTGCCTGCCAGGGCCTGACCAATTCCAATGACCCTTCCTTAGCCTCACATTGGTCTCGGTGGCTGGAAGGGAAGCACAGAGGACTCTCAAGCATTCATAGATAAACTGCTGAATCCTAAGCTCACAAAAAGGTAGGAGAGCACCAGTGTAACCAACCTGAGAATGCAGAAGCTGTATCTATAAACGTGAAGCAGCTTGACAAAGTTCTCAGACACGGGGACCAAAGGTTCTTTCTAAGGAGGCCCACAGAGCTCCGGGCTCGCCCCCTTTGGTCCTGAATCTGGTGCTCAGCCCATCCACAAACTGCGTCTGAGACATGACATAGCTGAACTAGGGTCGAGTGAGGGACAGGGGCTTTTAGGACTTACAAGAAGGATTCAGGCGTGACGTGGGCATTTCTGGGGACCCTGAAACACCAGGCACTATGCTGAGCTGGACGGAAAGGTGAATCAGTCTCCCGGGGTGAAAAGAAGACAGAGAAAGACAGCTGACCAGACAACCCCATCAGACTCTGGAAAGGATCCTATGATGGGGACCTCAGTCCCTGCAGCCCAGAGCCGCCTGCACCGTCTAGGCCAAGCGGATGCCTGAGGGTTTCTGGGAGGAGAGGGCATTCCGGTGACTGGACCTGGGAAAGTGTCACTCCTGACATTCAGGGCCACCTGGGATTTGTAACTCTGTGTGTCAGCCTTCAAGAGAAGCTGAAAAAGAACATTCTCTGTGTTCTGGCCTTCCCTCCCCCAACCCCAACACACCCAAGAAAAGTCTTCTCAAATATGGACGCGGGGAAAAAGTTACCGTTGTCCTAAAAGAAATGTAGAAAAAAACTAAGGGAAGGTGGCAAAATGTGCCCCTAACAGAAGTATCAATACCGTGCGTAGCTCTGCTTCCCCCACCAACACTATGAGAGAGACTGGAATGAGAGACAGGGGGGAACCCCACTTGAATATCAGTATCAGCTGTGCTGTGAGGAGTCAGGCTCAGCCCATGTTCTGACTGCAGCTGCAGACGTAGTGGGGGGGTGGGGGGGAAGAGGCAGGGAGGCAGGCCTCCAGGAAGACAGGCCGCTGGGGAGAAGCACACAGGAACAGAGCTAGAAGAGGGTTTGTGGGAAAAACCCAACACGAGTGAAGAGATCTGGTCTGAGCTGCAACATCAAAGCTAAGCTGCTGTTGTGTGGCCTCGGAGCAGTCATTCAATGTCCCCGAGCCTCAATGGCTTGTCTGTAAAAATGGACATGAAAATGGGCGCTACGCTGGCTTGCTGTGCGCAGACAAGTGAGGGCAAGAAGGTGCACCTCGTGAAGTGATGCCATTCACCCATTGGCTCAACAGCATAAGGACAAACTGTTCAGCATCTTTGTGCTTTAACCATCCCCCGCCCCCACCCTGGGAAAGCTGGATGGTGGTGGCTGCATCTCTGACTCTGGCCAGCTGAGTGACCTTGTGCAAGTAACTTAACCTCTATGATCCTTGGTGGATCCTGTATAAGAGCAGTGCAGAATTTCTATATACAGTAGTGCACGGAGCATACTTTCCACGAAACCCCCAGTGCACGCCTGAACTGGAAAGTACTAAACCCTGTATATACTATGTTTTTTCCTATAGATACACACTGAGGATAAAGTGGAAGTTAT